GTGTGTGTGTGTGTGTGTGTGTGTGTGTGTGTGTGTGTTGTGTGTGTGTGTGTGTGTGTGTGTGTGTGTGTGTGTGTGTGTGTGTGTGTGTGTGTGTGTGTGTGTGTGTGTGTGGCTGTTTTCCACTTGCTTTGCTTGTTGTGCTCATCTGTCCGTCTTGCCTGACTGTGCGTTGCCGCTATCGATTTACTTTCTTGATGGATGTGAGCAAACAGATCCAACCAGTAAATGCACAGGATTGACTGAATGACATGGTTGCAACGAAAGCCGCACGCACTGGCAATCACATGGAGACACAAAATGAGAGGGAGCCAGAGAGAGTTGGCAGGCGGGCAGGAGGGAAAGAGGCCCACGTCTGTTGGTGAGACAGGCCCTCTCGCCCAAATCCACACACCCACATGACACGGACGGGACTCCGCCCACACAAAAGTCACCCAAGCACCAACGAGCGAGCGACCCATGGTCGACAACAGCAACAGAGGTACGCAGACAAACGAACTTGAAGCAAAGAAATAGAACGGGCCAAAGCACACAAGAACACAGCACAACACAGCACAACACAACACAACACAGCCCGAGAGCGACTGACTGATGAAAAAGCAGGTTGGAAAGAAAGGGCACTCGCACGCGAGCGCGTTTTGTGCTGTGGACAACATGGAACAGAACCACCTCACGAAACACAACAACAAGAGTCAATAAGCCGGGCGTCGTCGTTAACTTAAGCCCACATGCATACACACACTACAAAACCCACCACATTTGCACATCAGCTCAGAATACACCAAATGAATATGCAACAGGGGGACAGGCATCAGAATAAGTGAGGGTCACTCATGCCTCGGAATGGGCGGCCTCGGAGGAGGTGTGGCTGCGCTGGTTGGCTGTGCTCGAGCCAGAGTTGTCTGCCACATCGTACGAAGGCGCATCAGCCATGTCGTAGGCCGGGCCGTCCTCAAACCCGGGCGCCTGCTTCGTGTACAGGCCGAGAGACGCGTTGGAGCGGCGCTTGTTCATGACGGAGAGGCGCGCCTGCTTGGCAAGGACGCCGTTGTCCTCGGGCTGGTCGTGCGCCAGCTCGTACACATCGGGGCCGTCGTCCTCCTCGTTGTCCACGGCGTTGGCGTACACGTCCATGCGAGCCGTCGACTCGAGCGTGTGGTGCGCAGGCATGCCCTGGCTCAGCGGGTCGTCCTCAAACAGCTCGTCGAGGGCAGAGTGGCGGCGCATCGAGTTGAGCTCGTGCGTCTCGCTCTGGCGCATGGAGCCGCTGCCGTTGTCGCTGCTGCCCATCGTGTTCAGCATGCCGCGAAGCGTGGAGGAGCTCTGGTCAAGCGAGAACGAGCTGGGCGAGCGCTTGTACATGTGCTCAATGTCCCGGGCGTGGTTGTACTCGCGGCGCTTGCGAATCACAATCGCCACAATCACAACAAGGAAGAACGCAACCATCACGCACAGAGGCACAATCACAGAGAGGCTGGGCAGGCTGGTCGAGTCACTGCTGCCGTCGCTGCCCGGCTGCGAGTTGTCGCGCGTGTTGCCAGAGGGTGCGCTAGTGGCGCGGCTGTTGCGGGTGGTGCTGGAGAGCTGCGTCACGCCGCTCTCACAGTACTCGGTCGAGCCAACTGTCACGCACACGTCCTGGATGGCAAAGAAGCGGTCGATGCGCGAGGCGCCGTTGAACGAGCGCGTGCCGATCACGACTGTCAGGCCGTTGTTGTGGCGCTGCAGGTCGATGGAGCGGATCTCAGAGGGTGCAACAGCCGGGTGGTCGCCAGAGGTCAGGGCCTCCCACAGGCCGCCACGGAAGGTGAGTGCAGCCTGGCTGTCGGGGTCGCTGAAGCGGCTGTAGTCAGCATCGCGGAAGAACACGGACGCTGTGTGGGAGCCAGCTGTGGTTGTGCTATGACGAGGGGTGGTCTCGGTGGCCCTGTTGGTGGTGGTGTCAACGCGAGTGGTGGTCTCACGGCGAGGAGCGGTGGTGTCAACACGAGTGGTGGTCTCACGGCGAGGAGTGGTGGTGTCAACACGAGTGGTGGTCTCACGGCGAGGAGTGGTGGTGTCAACACGAGTGGTGGTCTCACGGCGAGGAGTGGTGGTGTCAACACGAGCGGTGGTCTCACGGCGAGGAGTGGTGGTCTCACGGCGAGGAGTGGTGGTGTCAACACGAGTGGTGGTCTCAGGGCGGCGAGTGGTGGTCTCACGGCGGGCTGTTGTCGTCGACGAGTCATCACGACGGCGGTCGCAGCAGTACTCCCGAGAGCCGCAGAACGAGTCATCGGGGCATGCATGGCCGCCCTGGCCGCAGAAGATCAGGCTGCCGAGGTGGTCGCGCGATGTAGAGTAGCTGCCGCACAGGTTGTCGCGTGGCGTCTCCGTGGGCCGGTTGGTCGACGTGTAGCGGGTGTCAGTCCATGTGTTGGTGGCACGCGCTGTCGTCGTCTCAGGGCGGCGAGTGGTCGTCTCAGGGCGGCGAGTGGTGGTCTCACGGCGGGCTGTTGTCGTCGACGAGTCATCACGACGGCGGTCGCAGCAGTACTCCCGAGAGCCGCAGAACGAGTCATCGGGGCATGCATGGCCGCCCTGGCCGCAGAAGATCAGGCTGCCGAGGTGGTCGCGCGATGTAGAGTAGCTGCCGCACAGGTTGTCGCGTGGCGTCTCCGTGGGCCGGTTGGTCGACGTGTAGCGGGTGTCAGTCCATGTGTTGGTGGCACGCGCTGTCGTCGTCTCAGGGCGGCGAGTGGTCGTCTCAGGGCGGCGAGTGGTCGTCTCAGGGCGGCGAGTGGTCGTCTCAGGGCGGCGAGTGGTCGTCTCAGGGCGGCGAGTGGTCGTCTGCCTGGAGGTCGTGGTCTGGCGGCTGGTGGCTGTCGTTGTGATGCTCACGCAGCGGCACATGCGGCACCCGTTCTCCCAGTAGTCCTGAGGCGCGGCGTCTGGCTTGCATCGGCACTCCTCGTACTCTGGGCACCTGCCCGTCGTGGTGGGCCGTGCGCCAGAAGTCGTTGTGGCCGGGCGAGTTGTGGTAGCTGGGCGAGTTGAAGTGGCTCTTGCGGTCGTTGTCTGGCGGCCAGTTGCGGTCGTTGTGTAGGAGACGCATCGGCACATGCGGCAGCCGTCTTGCCAGTAATCTTCAGAGACTGCGCCTGGCTTGCACCGGCATTCTTGGTATGGGTCGCACTCGGCGCGGGCCGACCCCGCAGAGATGGCGAGGAGGCCGAAGACGACACAGGCAATGAGAAGCTTGCGCTGCATCTTGATGGGGGTCTGGTTGGAACAACAGCCAGACGATTACAGGGGAGGCGTACAAGTTGGTAGAGAGGTTGCTTGGATTCTTGGTTGATGTAGAAGAAGACGGTGCGGAGAGCTGGTTGAGCGATCGGGGGAATTGGCAACACTCGAGTGTTGACAAAGGGCCAGATACGCTCAAGGAGGCAGAGTGAACAAGGAGGTGGAAGGGGGTCCTCAGGTGGATGGAGGTTGGATGAAAATGAACTTTGTCGGTGTTGAACAGCCAAATGAACTTCCCTCTGTCAACAGGTACTCGTGCTGCTGCTGCTGCTGCTGCTGCTGCTGCTGCTGTGTTTGGTGACTGGTTGACGGGGCTTGCTGTGCATGCCGGCTGGTGCCTGATGGGGCGCGCGTAGGCCTGGCGCTTCAAGAACGGCAGGCATGCTGCATTCCAAGTCGCCGTGTTACTTTGGTTCTGTCATGCTTGGAGTGACCGATAGCCAACGTGGTAGCCATGGCACGCTCGGCGTTGCAGTGGAGGAGGCATGCACGCAGTGGCTGCTAAACACCACATTCGATGCACGCATGCCTGAAGAGGGTGGAAAGGCTCGGTTTTGCTGTCCTTCGTCCTCTGCTGTGCGTGTGTGCATAGCTGCCAAGCGAAGAGAGAATTGTTTGAAGATGTGTTCTAATTTTCTACATCCGCTGCATTCTCTCAGCTTTGCTTGCTCAGCGGAGGAACGAAACGACACATGCATCGCATGCATGTGTGGTGCTCGATGCTCGAGTTGAGTGGGTTGCTGGCGAAGGAATGCACGCAGACTGTGGTTGCGTGCTGCGGCTTCGGTATTGGATGCATTCGAGCATGATGTAAGGGCCCACGTGACGAAGTGGGTTGGCTCATCGTGAACGAGCCGCGCACTGACGATGATGGCGGCACCACCTCGAGACATGGCAGTCCACGGCGCTGCTGCAGGAGACGTTGCGGCCGGTGATGGCGCAATCTGACACGTGTGTATCTCCTCCAACGTGCACGTGTGTTGCTGGTGCTTCTGCTGCTACTGGTGCTGTTAGGCAATACTGTGAGGAAGTACTGTTCCACGACCAACACTGAGCTCGCATGCGCTTGCAAACATGCTCGCTGGCCGCGGAGGAGCGACACACACACACGCCCAACACGTCTCTGGATGGGAGGATGAGGCTTGCTCCTGGGCCATCGATCGCCGATCCTCTGTGAGTGCCTTTGTGTGTGTGTGTGTGTGTGTGTGTCTGTGTGTCTGTGTGTGTCTGTGTCTGTGTGTGTGTGTGTCTGTGTGTCTGTGTGTGTCTGTGTGTGTCTTTGTGTCTGTGTGTGCGTGCGTGCGTGTGGGTGTGTGTCTGTGGGTGTGGGTGTGGGTGTGGGTGTGTGTCTGTGTGTGCGTGTGTTGTATGTATGTGTACATGTGTGTGTGTGTGTGTGTGGGTGTGTGTCATGCGTGTGAGTGTGTGTCATGTGTGAGTGTCTGTGTGTATGCTTGTATATGTGTGCGTTTGTGTGTTTGTGTAACACGCACACCGTGCACCCCGCTGCATCTCGTGTGGCTCTTCTGCTGTGCATCCATTCGTGCACTCACGCCTTTGTGGTTTTGTCCTCGCTATCCTCCTCTTCTTGCGTACCAGGTGTGACGGCGCGGCAGTGTCGTGAGACTGCACAAGGACGTAGCATGTGCTTCTGCTTCTTGTAGTGACCACGAAAGAAGAATGTCGCTGCCCTCTCCTTTCACGGGTTTCTACTCGCAGTGGTCTTGCCGGCAACGCTTGCGCCTCTCTCCCGTTCTGTGCGTACGTGTCAGAATTCGTCCTTTCTGTTGGCGACGCATGCGTTATTTCTTGCCCCTCTCTCTCTCTCTCTCTCCGCAACCTTAATGTGACATGAATGACGACGCTGGTGACCACTGTAAGTGAGGGAACTCAAGTTAAGACTGGAAGAAAGAGACGCCAAGACATGCATGTGCAAGCACACGTGGACACAGTGGAACGTGGAGAGAGAAAGGATGGGGCAAAAGTCTAGGAAAGGTCTGCCCATACACCACCTGTACAGTAGCTGCTAAGTGACCCCTTGACCGTGAGAGCGTGCTTCGTATGACCAACACCGCGTACACTAGAATGGGCTTGTTTCTCAAACAAGGTATTTGTTACCGCCCGGCTGTTGGGCAATCCCAAGCTTGAATCCGCCTCATTGTCCCCGACACATCGTGCTCTCGATCATTGCCAGACATCCGAATTGCTCACCAACTGTAATTCCATGTCAAGCGTTTCGCTCATGTAATCCTTTGACAGGTTAGCGCAAACAAACAGCCACAAGGCAGCCATCGTCGAAACTTCAGCCTTGCCCCTTCAATGACGACCACACACACACACACACACACACACACACACACACACACACACACACACACACACAAGGCTACTCAGGCCACATCCTCACACACACACACACGCACACAAAGCTACATCCTCACACACACACACGCACGCACACAAAGCTACATTCTCATGCTCACGAAGCCAGGGAATCCTCAACCACAAGCTCGCCAAAGCCCGTCAGGCTGGTCGTGACTGTTGCAGTTTCTTCTTGTTGCTTGGGTGAATGACTGCGAGGGGCATCCTCCACTGCGTTCTGCTGCTTCTGCTGCTGCTTCCGTTGGTCTTCATTGTACAGTTCGCACGTTGCGTCTGCGCACATGACGCTGAAGGTAACCCCAAAGGCGACTGTGACAGCCACGACGGCACCAAAAATGAGCACAGGCAAAGTGACGGTGCGAAAGGGCATGCCCGAGGCGTGCATGGAGAGCGGGATTCCGACGAGCAGGGCGCCTATGCTCAGGATGAGCATCACGTTTGGCAAAAGAAAGGCCAACTGCTTGTTCGTGCGCAGGTAGTACTCCACAGCTTTCTTGCAGGGCGGCACAAACTTGAGAGCGTAGAACATGTTGGCCGAGGCAAAGGCGGCGCCGATGGAGGTGATGAAGGAGATGCCAAAGCACATGACGGCGCCCTGCGCAGCCCAGAACCCAGGGTTCTCAAGGATGGGGTCAGCTGGCGTCGTGATGCCCACAAACGCCATGGTGGCGATCAGCGCCCCAATCAAGGACTGCGTCGAGTGCACATCACGCTCCGCGTCCAGAACGCCTTGCCACCCAAGGTGTGAGGCACGCACCGCCCAGTGTGGATTGACAAATGTGTTCTTTCGTAAGCGCTGGAATGCACCAAGGAGGCTCACATTGCCATATGTATCCGAAGTCGAAGCCTTCGAAGAACTCGAATGGGACATCATCTGTGACGTTGTTGCAAGCTTACTCCTCGATGGGGTTCCTGGTGGTGTTGAAGAGGAAGAGTGGCTGTCTTGGCGTGATGTGTGATGTGATGCTTGCTTTTTCCTTTCTTCCTTGTGGGGTTTACAGGTGAGGGTATTGTTGTTGGCAT